ATTCTATTTATTCTCTATTCTATTATCTGTTCTCTATTCTCTATTCTATTCTATCTTCTCTTCTCTCTTCTCTTCTACTCTTATCTCTTCTCTTTCCATCTTCTCTTCTCTTCTCTTCTCTTCTCTATTCTATTCTCCTCTCCTCTCCCATCCTATTCTATTCTATTTATTCTCTATTCTATTATCTGTTCTCTATTCTCTATTCTATTCTATCTTCTCTTCTCTCTTCTCTTCTACTCTTATCTCTTCTCTTTCCATCTTCTCTTCTCTTCTCTATTCTATTCTCCTCTCCTCTCCCATCCTATTCTATTCTATTTATTCTCTATTCTATTATCTGTTCTCTATTCTCTATTCTATTCTATTCTATTCTATCTTCTCTTCTCTCTTCTCTTCTACTCTTATCTCTTCTCTTTCCATCTTCTCTTCTCTTCTCTTCTCTATTCTATTCTCCTCTCCTCTCCCATCCTATTCTATTCTATTTATTCTCTATTCTATTATCTGTTCTCTATTCTCTATTCTATTCTATTCTATTCTATCTTCTCTTCTCTCTTCTCTTCTACTCTTATCTCTTCTCTTTCCATCTTCCATCTTCTCTTCTCTTCTCTATTCTATTCTCCTCTCCTCTCCCATCCTATTCTATTCTATTTATTCTCTATTCTATTATCTGTTCTCTATTCTCTATTCTATTCTATTCTATTCTATCTTCTCTTCTCTCTTCTCTTCTACTCTTATCTCTTCTCTTTCCATCTTCTCTTCTCTTCTCTTCTCTATTCTATTCTCCTCTCCTCTCCCATCCTATTCTATTCTATTTATTCTCTATTCTATTATCTGTTCTCTATTCTATTCTATTCTATTCTATTCTATCCTCTCTTCTCTCTTCTCTTCTACTCTTCTCTCTTCTCTTCCCTTCTATCTTCTCTTCTCTTCTCTTCTCTTCTCTATTCTATTATCTGTTCTCTATTCTCCATTCTATTCTGTTCTGTTCTGTTCAATCCTATCCTATCATCTCTGCGCCTCCCCTCTCCTCCCCTCTTCTGTTCTGTTCTATTCTCTATTCTATTCTCCTATCCTATCCTATCCTCTATTCTATTCTATTCTGTTTTTGTACTGTTCTATTCTATTCAATCCTATCTTCTTTCTTCTCGTCCCCTCCCCTCCCTCTTCTCTTTCTCTTCTCTTCTCTTCAATGGGTGGTTGAAGCGAAGCATGCCGCAAGAACTCAAGGAGATGACATGAAACTATTTCTCATTTATTGGCAGGTGTGCGTCCACCGCAACATTGTCTACCCTCTTGGCATGACCTGGGAGGAAGGCTGTAAGGAATGTTCTTGCACCAACATGAAAGATGCAGTCACAGGACTCCGGATTACAGAATGCCTGGAGAAAGGATGTAGTATGTCCTGCCCAGCGGTAGGTAAAGTTCCCAAGTATTGTTTAGAATAAAATAAGGGTTTTTTTTTTAAAAAAAATCTAGTTGGACTCTTCCAAGGCAACAGTGAGCGGGGGTGGGTGGGTGGGATGACACAAGGACAGCTGGTCTTCAAATGGTTAGTTCTTGAAGACCAGGAAATCTTAGGGCTAGTAAATCCATACGCTAGTAGTCCTCGCCCAGAATTTATGCAGATAAGAGAGACACTTCTTAAGTGAGTTTTAGCCCATTTAATGACCATTCCTGCCATCTTTGTTAAGCGAATCTGTACAGATGTCAGACCCGGATTGTTGTTGGGGGCAATATGCTGACTCTGTAAACTGCTTAGAGAGGGCTGAAAGCCCTATGAAGCGGTATATAAGTCTAACTGCTANAATTCCCCAGCCAGCGAATGCTGGCTGGGGAATTCTGGGAGTTGAAGTCCGGACATCTTCAAGTTGCCAAGGTTGAGAAACACTGGCCTAGACAGGCAATTCAGGGCCAATGTAAGGGAAGGAAGCAGCAGCAAATCTCTATATAACCTGTCGGCTGCTTTGCAGGCTACAGACAATGCTTGCCTTGGGAATATCGCAGACTTCCGGGAGATTAAGAGATCAGCATTCTTCTGGCTAAATAAATAAATAAAGAGCCGGAGTTGCCCAAAATAAATAAAAAAGTTGACCAAACGAACAATGAATTTGAGTTCATTAAAAAAACACCCTGAAATGATCCGAAAATATTCCAGTTGATTGGCTGATGGAAACTTAAGAAGGCAACTGGCAGGGAGCAGCCACCAATCCTGGGAGAATGATTGGTGGCTGATTTTCTTTGCCAGAAGAATTGCTGAATGGAGCAGAATGGATTGCAGAGAAGCTATCCATGAAACTACCTCATCCTACCAGTATGAATGTATGACTGGCATAGTTCTGAAGCATAGTAAAGTTAACGTTCAGGGGCCAATGGTTGATAGGATAGAAGAAAACATGTAAAATGGCAGTGAGGACGGGCTCCCGTCCGTGTGTCAATCCTGCAAGGCTGAATGAAGGTGAGTTCTCCAAGGTCACCTTGTGATCTTTGGAGTTGAGAGGGCTTTTGAACCTGGCTCTCCACTGATCGCAATGCAATATTGCAGAGAAGAGCAACAAAGATGATTAGGGGGCTGGAGGCTAAAACATACGAGGAATTGTTGCAGAAATTGGGTTTGTCCAGTCTAGCAAAAAGAAGGACTAGGGATGACATAATAGCAAATTTCCAATATTTGGAGGGATCAACCTTTTTTCCAAAGCACCAGAAGGCAAGGCAAGAAACAATGGATGGAAATTAATAAAGAAGCGAAGCAACCTAAAACTAAGGAGAAATTTTCCTAATAGTAAGAACAATAAACCGGTGGAATGGCTTGCCTTCAGAAGATGTGGTACTCCATCCCTGGAGGCTTTTAAGAAGACATTAGACAGCCATTTGTCTAGAATGGTATAGAGCCAGGGATGGCACGTGCAGCCCTCTCTGGGGGCATGTGAGCGGTTGCCCCAGTTGAGCTCCACCGGGTATGCGCGCACACCTCATGTTGGCCAGCTGATTTTCAGGTCTCTGCCATACATGTGCGTGGGATGGGGCACAGGCGGGAAATGTGTGTGCATTCGTGGAGGTTGGGAGAGTCACGTGCACATGCGTGTGGGGAGCACAGGGAGGTGTGGTCCCCCCCAGTGCCCCATTTTTGGTCCCAGGAGGCTTTAGGGGGGCCTGCTAGGCCCAAAATGGCCCATGGAGCGGGGTCACATGTGCATACACAAAGGGGGCACCGGGGGAGGGGACACACACGCGCGCAGGGGTGCGGAGCACCTGAAGATGTCAAACTCACATTGCATTATGGATGTGGGCACAAATGTGCTTTGTCATGCACACACACTTCTGGCACGCGATGACAAAAAGGTTAGCCATCACTGGTATAGAGTCTCCTGCTTGCGCAGGGGGCTGGACTCGAAGATCTTAAAGGTCCCTACAAGCTCTTTATTCTGTTATTTTCTTACACAGGAGCGAGACTACAGGTAAATGGAAGATACTCACCATCACAGTCAAAAAGAGCAAACACAACATCACATACATGGTCTGATAGTTCCACCTTTGCCACTGTCTTGGCTACTTGTTGCATCGTATCTGCAAGAACGAAAACAAAAGGCAAGCCAGATGTCAACATTTTGTGGGAAATGAAAGACTTAATGTAAACATACTCAAGTCTCTGATCATTTTTTTCCCCCCTGATGAGCAAAGTCAAGATAGGATTTCCCCCACTCTCTTATCCACCAATCCCCAATTTCAACATGAAGCAACCGGGCCGTTTTGAAGCTAAATGCACTTGCTAAATGGAAGGATGAAAAGTGCTGAAGCCAACATGTAATTTCTCATCTAACTGCACCGCTGAAGCCAATCATATCAGATGCAGCCGTTTGTTCTCCTGATGGGCAATTCATTTGACACAGTAGTGGAGAAGTTGGGAGGCAGAGAGAGAGAGAGAGAGA